ACATGGAAACATAGATACATAGATAGTGAGAAAGTTACACAGCAATACAGAAAACGATGAGGATAAAATAAATAAATATGTATGTAAAAGATAAATAGATAGATAGATAGTTAGGTAGATCAATAGAGTAGTTAGAAAGATGATAAATAGATGGATAGATAGATAAATAGAATGATAGATATCTGTAGAGACATAATGAAATCAAAATGAATATCAAACATTATATAGTTGTATATATCTTTCTTTAAGTATACTGAAAATGTCATGATCATATATATGCATAGTAAAATAGACAGGTATTAGATGAATACATTAGCAAAATACATAGATGAGTAGAGAGAGAGAGAGAGAGAAAGAAAGAGAGATGATAGATTATACATAGATACATGATAGATGATAGATAGATAGATGATAGATAGATGAAATACATACATACATAGATAATAGATGAATAAATACTATAGCAATATGTTTAGATAGATGGTAATTAGATCAATAGTTTCATAGTTAAAACGTGTTATGTATTGTTCGTTAGGCTGAAATATCGACATTCGGAAACTTAGATCGTAAGAATGATAAATAGGAAAAGAGCACAATAGACAGATAAATATGAAGATAGTTTGACAAAGATAATTAATATATAGATAGATGCTTAGATGGATGATATATGTACAAATATATAAGATAGATAATAGAATGATAGATAGATGATAGATAGATGATAGATGATAGATGATAGATAGATAGATAGATAGATAGATAGATAGATAGTTAGTTAGATAGATAGATAGAAAGACAAAGAGTGAAAGAGAAAATCCAATATTATATAGATAGATTATCTTTTTTTTTAGGTAATTGTACACAGATATATCAATAGTTAGACAAATTTAAAAAGATTATGTTTTAGAGAGATACATTGAAGAATAGTTAATTATAGATACATGGAATGCAATATATATAGATAAATAGAAAATACACAAACAGAAAGATAGACAGACAGATAGATAGATAGATAGATAGATAGGTGATAGATACATAGATAACAGTATAAATAAAGACAGATGAATAACTACATAAGTAATATTTTTCATTAGATGGTATTTAAATAGATAGTTAATATCAGATATATACTCATAGTTAGGTTGAAAGATACATAGATAATTACAAAGTTTTTTTATTACAATAAAAGTAAAAAAAGATTAGAATACTTAGATAAATAGATAGATGATAGATGAATGGATAGACAGGTAAATAAATAGATAATTAAAAATAGATGAAAGATAGCTAGGTAAATCGATAAATAAATACACAGACATACATAGAAAAAAGTAAATCAAAAAATATATAAAGATTTCTCTATCATTAGGTAAAGTGAAAAATAATCACGGTTGGAAATAGCTATAAAGAGATAGGTAGATAGATAGGTAGATAAATTAATAGAAATATATGAATAGATAAGTAGAAATATGAATAGATATTTAGAACGAATAGATGAAAAGTAAATATATAAATAGATATGTAGATAAATACATTAATAGTTGATAGATAGATAAATGAAAAGAATGGATGTATTGATAAATTTAGCGATAGAAAAATAGTTATATATAGGGAGAGATAGATAATAAAATACAAAGACAATGAGAATTAAAAGTGATTTAAAAATATATAATGATATTTTGATATTAAGAGATACAGTAATAAAGATACAAACAGAAGTTAGTTTGATAGACACAGACATACAGACAAATTGATAGAGGAATGGACATATAGTCAGATATATAGAAAAATATTATTGATATAGATTGATAAAGATTGATAGAAAAATAATAGATTAATAGATAACATTATAGATATTAGATTATATATAAAGATACATAGATAGATAGACACATAGATACATAGATACATACGTACCTAGAAGACAGAAGGAGAATACAAATGGACCAAACAAAAGGCAGAAAGAGACACTAAGAGATGAATAGACAGTGATGAATATATCAATAGATAGATAAAAAGATATGTAAATATAGACAGATACATCATTAGATACATTTTAAAAAGTAGTATTGATACCTACCTAGCTGTATATATTGATAGTTGATAGATGAATACATAGATCGATAGACATACAGAAAAAGAGACAGATAAATGAACGATAGATGAACAATAAATTAGATAGATAGATAGATAGATAGATAGATAGATAGATAGATAGATGGATGGATAAAGGCTTGGTTAGATAGATAGATATAGATAGATACATACATAGAAAGAAAGACAGACATAGATAGAGAGACAGAGGCATAGACATATGGCTAGAGATAATAAAAAATACTATTATTGATACATAGATACATAGTTAGATACATAGATACACAGAAACATAGGTTATAGATACATACATACATACATACATACATACATACATACATACATACATAGAAAGACAGATGGATAGATGGATCCACCATTAGATATATTAAAAAATAGTAGCATTAATAGCAGGCTAGTTAGATAGATAGATAGTTCATAGATAGCTACAGAGAAACCTAGATAGACACACAGACAGACAAATAGAATGATATAGAAATGGACATACGGTTAGAGATATAGAAAAATAGTATGATATATAAATAGATAGATGGATAGTTATATAGTTAGAAGGCCAGACAGACAAGCATACAGAGGAATAGATAAATACATAGATAGATGATAGATACATAGATACATAGATAATAGACAGACAGATATAGATATAGATGAACGACAGAGTAGATAGATAGATAGATAGATAGATAGATAGATAGATAGATAAAAAAATTGATGATAGATGATATCCAGATAGATAGATTATAGATAGGTAGATGAATGCTTCGTAAGATATAAAAAAAAAATAGTAGTATTGATATCAGGCTAGTTATTTTGGTGGATAGTTGATAGATACATATGTAGAAAAATAGACAGACAGATAGTGATACAGAAATGGACATATGTTTAGATATATTAAAACTTTTATAGATACAAAAAGATGATAAATTGACATATTATGGTACAAATATTAGATAATAGACACATAGATACATTTGTACATAGAGAGACAGAGAGAATAAAGACAGAAAAAGAGCCAGAAAGAGTCACAAAGAGATAAATGGAGAGTGCTGGATGGATCGATAATGGATAGATAGATAGACAGATAGATAGATAGATAGATAGATAGATAGATAGATAGATAGATAGATAGATAGATGATAGATAGACAAATAGGTAGATGACAGATACATACATACATAGATGATAGATAGGTTTAAAGATAGTTATAGACATTTTAGAAACATATTTATATGTACAGATACATAACGAATAAGAAAAGCCATTTGATAAATTGATGGAGATGATAGATGATAGATGGTAGATAGATAGATAAGATGAGAGATAGATAGATAGATAGATAGAGAGAGAGAGAGAGACATATATTTCAGATAAATAAGTGGATATATTATGATTGGTAGATAGGTAGGTAGATAAATAGAAACATATATAGATATATAGATAAAGAAAATGAGTATGATAGATATATAATAGGTAGACAGAACATAGATGATTGACATGATAGATACATATAGATAGATTGATAGATAAATGGACGGATGGATGCGTGGATTGTTGTAAGATGGAAGGACAGATGAATGGATTGACATATAAACAGTGAGAAGAGACACATTCATAAACATAACTAAAAATAAAAATATTGATGAATATGTAAATATATTGATAGTTTAAATACATGATAGTTAGATAAATGATAGATTATTGATAGACGATAGATAATGATAGATGATAGATAGATGATAGATAGATAGATAGATAGATAGATAGATAGATAGATAGACAGACAGACAGACAGACAGACACACTGACACAAAGACAGACAGGCAAGCAGATTGAAAGATGATAGGTTGGGAGATATGTACATAGATTATTTTTGTAGAACGATAAACACACAATGTTTATTTGGAATGGTGGATCGATTAATAGTTGCTCCTAAATATAAAGATGAAATAAAATATTACATTACAAAACTTGTAACTAAGTTAACTAAATAAGATTCAGGGAACTAAATTCTAAAGGTTTAGTTTGTTTCTTTTGTTTTTGATAGTGATGACATTGTTTTGTCACGGTCTGTAAAACGTCCAGTTTCTTTAGAGAATTTTGAAAACATACAAATAAAATGATCTGACTCTTTATAATCTACGGCTATTCATCAGTTTGGCCATGAGTTCATGATTATTGAATCTGGAAATAATCATGTATAATTCATTATATTATTGTTACTATGATAATTTTTTTTGTAAATGTCAATTAAAAAATTAAGATGAGTGAAAAAAGTCAAACACAAAATGCATGCGTTGTGATTCATTTCAATTTCAGAAACTGTCAACACTCCTGGTCTAGCGATGCTCTAGGAGAGGATTTTGTACCTAGAAAGAGCATCAGAGGACCTTTTGGGAAGACAGTCATGTAGTTTTCGGTACTGAATGTATGAGTGTTTCACCTTTAAATGACTTCATCAAGCTGTACTTCTATGTTTTGAGGAATTTTTATGTAATGTTTCGACTGTTTAATTAAAAAGTAATGAGTTGGTGTCCATCAATAGATGAACAAAATGTGCATATACAGGTATATTATTCTGCATTAAAAAGGAAATAAATTCTGATACAAACTACAGAAATTATGCTTAGCTACATATAGTCAGAAAAAGACAGGTGCTGTTTGATTCCACTTACAGGAGGTACTTAAAGTAGTCAGCTTTACAGAAATGTAGAATGTTGACTGCCAGCATGTGGACTGAGAGCAGTTTGAGGATATGAAAAAGTTCTAGATATGATTAGTAATGATGGCTGTACAATAAAAAGATACTTAATGATACTACACTGTACTTAAAAATAGTTAAATGGTAAATTTATCTCGTGTATTTTATTACAATAAATACAGTAATAGCGTTTTCTGAAGTTTTGAAAACTTTAATAATAATTTTGTAATAAAAAGTGAAAAGAAGTTAACAACTTAAGAATAACTGTCACAAACATATCTTCCTGTGATATCAACAGATGACCCAGAGACACCTACTTGCAGGTGACATAAGCCTGCATCTGACACATCTCTCACACATTGTCTGTAGCAGTCTTGTCTTCCCAGCCCACTACTGGCCTGCCGTTTCCCTAGCCCCTTTCACTGTTGAGAGCATTGTGGGTTTATTCCCTCAAACTGTGGGCAAACAAGATGTCCCATAGCATCCGCAATCCTCAAATGGTTGGAGTGGGGGCCACTTTGTCCTTCATTATACCCCCAGACACACTTTGGGAGGATGTTTGCCTATTCATGCCCCATCCTCCCTGGGAGCAACGGTAATGAGACTGGCCTCATCACTGACGAGTCTGTGCTGGAGGATAGAGAACCTGGTTTCAAATAAACTGGGGGAACCCCAGCTCCTAACACCTGCCCGCCCTCTCCCTGTTTCATCATGCAAGGGACCTGTGAAGAAAAGTCAAAAAGAATGAGTAAAGAAGGAAGAAGTAGAAGATAGGTCCATAGGGTACATGGAGTATGAGTCTGGAGTTTTGGGGACTATGACAAGAACTCTGCTATTCACACCATTAGGGAGGGGGCCCATGGCAAGATTTTAAGCTGTGAAAGGATACCACTTGAGTCTAGTTTTAACATCTGTGATGAAACTCTTTTAAGTCTCTTCATTATCGAGGTTTCTCAGGAGCCCTGAAGATGGTCATTGTGATGTTTTATTACCTGTGTCAACTTGACTGGGCCACTGGGTGCCCAGATATTGGGTAATACATGATTTGGGGGTGTGTCTGAGAAAGTGATTCTAGATGAGCTTCACGTTGACTAAAGCAGATTGCTCTGCCCAGTGTGGGTGGCCTCATGCAATCCCTTGAAGACCTGAATCGAACAAAATGGCTGAGCAAGAAAAAATTCTTCCTCTCTGCCTGAGTGTCTTCAAGCTGGAACGTTGGTTTTCCACTGCTTCGGACTCAGACTCTGACTGCAATGTACATATCAGTTTCCTGCTTCTCAGGCCTTAAGATGTAGATGAGAACTATACCACTGGCTCTCTTGGGTCTTCTTCTTGGGGTTCTCACCTCTGTAAGCCTGTGTGAGGCACGCATTTAGATATGCCTTCTAAGGTAGAAGATAAACGTTTGCGACTGGTCTCCCGTATGACCCAGAATGCACAGCCTACTGAGTCAGTGAGTATGGGAGGCAACAGTTTACCTTTGATCCATTTGCTGAGTGCCCCAAACAAGTTGCTAGTTTTGAATGGAGTGCAGAATTGGAGAAGGTTCCATGTCAGTTCCAGGCCACCCTGCAAACTGCTGTGCCCTTGGGCCATGTGATCCAGTGGATCCAATGGAACTTGAAGTGTCGATGGCAGATAACGATGCTGTTTGGAGGTATGGAGTCTTGGCAGGCCCGTAGAAGTGACAGGCCCCTATGAATTTTGAGCAAAGCCCTGCCATCCTCCACAGGTAACTACTCTGTTTTTGAGAAAAAAGCTCTCAGCTTCCTACTGGGCCTTAGTAGAGACTGATCATGTACACACTTTTTCACAAGGTGCCATAATGACCACAAAGTTAGTCATTATGGCCACACTCCATCATCAAATGAAAGTGGTCTGTCTGGGATCTGGCCTGTGCAGGCCTTGAAGGCACAAAGTTGAATGAGAAAGTACCCAAATGCCCAATGTCCCCATTCCCGCTACCGTGCCTTCTCTCCCCCCACCTTCACCCATGGCCTCATGGGTGGCTCTGATGATCAGTTGACAGAGGACAAGACTCAGGCCTGGTTCACAGATGGTTCTGCGTGGCATGCAGGCACCACCCAAAAGTGGACAGCTGCAGCACTATCGCTTCTCTCTGAGACGGACACTGGTGAAGCGAAGTCCTCCCAGGGGCAGATCTTCAAGGAGTAAACCTGTGTGCTCACCGAGCTTGGAATAAGAGACGGCCAGTCATGTGATTGTGTGATTATAGAACTGATTTCTGTCCTGTGCTCAATAGTTTGGCTGAATAGTCATGTTTTCTAGAAGAACAAGATTTGAAAATTGGTGACCAAAACTTGGAGGAAGACGAATGTGGATAGACTTGTCTGAAACACGTGAAGACAGTGTGTTCTATGTAAATGCTCAACCAAGTGCGACATCCTGCAGAGGAGGATTCTAATAATCAAATGGATAGGAAGATCCATTCTGTCGTGTTGGATGCATGGGTCATCTACGATCCCTCCCCATTACAGAATGATTTCATTCTCCAGCCAGCCTCTTTCCCCAGCCAACGTCCCACCATCCCATGGGCTCGAGGGATGGAGGATATACTGGACTCAGCAATACAGTACTTTCACTCACCAAGCCTGATCTGGCTATGCCCACTGCTAAGTGCCTAGTTTGCCCACAGGGGAACCAGTAAGAGTCCCCGACCCCTGGTGGCCAGTTGATTACTTTGGGCTTCCCCCATCAGGAGTGGGGCAGTGTTTGTTCTTTCTTCCTGGAACACATACTCTGAATATAAATTTGCCATCTTTGTACGTGATTCCTTTGCCCAAACTACCATGTGTGAACTGGCAGAATGCCTTCTTCTCCATCACGGTGGCCATTCAACTTTGTTTTGAATTAGGAAACTCACCGTATAGCAGAAGGAGTGAGGAAAGAGACCCATGCTTATGGAATTCACCATGTTCTCCACAATTCTGAAGCAGGCAGCCTGACGAAGCAGTGGAATGACCATTTGAAGACCCAGTGATAGTGCAGATTGGGTGGCCTTACCTTGCAGGGTTGGAACCAGGTTCTTCAGGAGGCTGTACGTGCTCTCGATACCTCCAGCATATGTTGCTGCTTCTGCCACAACCAGGATTCCCGGGTCTCAAAATGAAGAGGTGGAAGAGGAAGTGGCAGCACTCACCATCGCCCCTAGTGACTGACTGACATTTGTGTTTCCTGTTATGTGACCTTACGCAATACCGGCCTGGACGTCTTACTTCCAAAGGGAGAAATGCTTCCACCTGCAGACACACGTGATTTCACTGAAGCACAAGTTAAGACTGACACCCAACCACTCGGGCTCCTGAGTCAACTGGCAAAGACGGAAGTTACTGTGCTGGTGTGGTGACTGATCCCGAGTTATCTACAGAAAAATGGAGTACTACTGCAGTAGAGGTAAAGAAGTGTGTGTGTAGAACGCTGACTGATCCCTTCGGGGGTCCGTGTTACCATGCTCTGTGATTAAGTTCATTGGAAAACCACTAACGTGAGCCAATTCCAAATACTAAAACTCTTTATGTATTTCTACACCTATTAATTCTATCTCGCTATCCATCCGTCATCTGACATCTATGTATCTATCTTCTATCCAGCTGTCACCATCTATCACCACCGTGTGTCTGAAATGTTTCTAAAATCTGTTTATGCATGCGTAAGGTTATGGAAACGTTCCACACAAAATCTGTATCAAAATGTACATCTCTCTCCTACTGACTGTTTCTTTGGAGAACCGAGAGTAATAACTACTACAATCCTAGTATGGTGAGAGTCCCCCAGCCCTCTCTCTAACCGCTCACCCTGTATGGGCTTGAAGTCCATTAGCTGCAGGCTAGATACCAACATCATCTTCATGTGTGTCTTCTTGACTGACTTGAGTGTCATTCTCTTTGTGTTTGTGTCACACACTTGTGTACAGAAAGAATAGACCCCAAAGAAGGAAACAGTGACAATGGTGATTCTAGGACACTGGGGAGCTAAAACAAGGGAGAAAGCAATTCTCCTTTCTCTACAAAATAGTCAGGAGCATAATGGGAAACAAATACCGTAGTGAACTGGTGGGCCTTTGGGTTTGACAAAACGGGCTGAGAAGTGAACAGTGCCACAGGTTTCAGGAGTTGTGTTACTGTCAAACAGGACTCTAGAAATTCAGTGTGTGTGAGTTCCTGATCCGGGTGTTGATGCAGATGGAGACACGGTGCAGGGAGGAATGACAAGTCCTGTTCAGTGGCTGTAGTGGCCCCTATCCCCACGGAGATGTCTCATTAAAATTTAACCTGAAAAAATTCAGTTCATCACTCACACTAGCTTCATTTCAAGTACTAAATAGCTATGTGTGACCTAGTATCTACAGTATTCAGCAACAGGACATTTCCATACTCGCATCAAATTCTACTACACTGTGCTAGAGTTGAGTTTGAGACCTGTGAAAGTGAAGAAAGGGGGCAGAAGAATGCAACTCGTAGGCAAATTTGTGTGGGTGCTCTAGAGTGGTAATGACGAAAAAAGTGCCTGAGCTAGAATCCTCTGCATTTAACCTAGACAGCGAGCATTACCGTTAAATAAGACACTGGGCCTAAGTCCGTCTGCCCCTTATGTCTCACAGTCCGTCTTCAGGGAATCAGATGAATCCCTGGAACATCAGGCCAAAAATATGGCCGTTAGGAGGCAAGGGCATATACTGTGTCTAGGGGCTGGAGCTGGACCAGTCGCGGCTTAGGCTATGACAGGCGAGGTTCAGGGGCAGGTGAGCTCTGCCTAACACCCAGGGTGGACTGGAACTTTTTCACTTCAGGTCCCCTTACAGCTACAAACTATACTTGTAAATGGTCTGGGAGCACCAAGTGAGGTGGGATACGACCAAACTCAACCCAAAGAGGGGTTTAAAGGATCTAAACTCTGAGACAACAACAAATGCAAGTGCGACACATTACGTCTGTCTAGGTACCAAGCACCTGAAGGACATTCGATCTGTTTCCTCTCTACCTAACCTGTTATCCCTTTATTTTACACATGGGGCATTTGAGACACAAAGTGGGATGTGACAAAGACTGTGCGCATTGGCAAGACCGCATTCAGACCTCTACTACCTCTCAAAACAAATACGGCAAGAAACTAGAGGAAAAAAGGTAGGATAAGAACCTGAATCAAATTTGAACACTTGTGCAAGGATGGCCCTACTCTGAGGCCCACTGGTTTCACATTTCGCCCTCATCAGTGAGGAAGAGAAAAAAGCAATAAATCCCACGCTAAGAACAGTAGGAATTAATTTTCTCTCTCTCCTAACCCTGGATTTCGTGCAAATTTCATGCTGCCAGGGTGGGGATGAGCACTTTGGACGATCACTTGAATCTACAGAGCTACAGGCATCCCACTCCTTCACAGAGACAGGCGGTGTGAGCTCTTGCCAAAATGAGGATAGTGCACACCTCAATTAACTATGCTTTATTAAGAAGTCCAATTCTAAACAAAAGAGGGCACCAGCAGGAAAACAAAAACAATTCTCAAAAGGATGTAAGGCCCATGGGCCTGGCTGAGCCCAGCTTTTGTCAGTTACTAGGGGTCTGTCGAAAGAATGCCTGAGGATGAGGTACGGGAGGAGGGCAGAGGGCTCAATAGATGGTGTAGCGTACATAGGGGACCTCGACATCCTCGCCACTCTCGTTATTGCAGCAAATCTCAAGCACCAGTGCCCGCATATGCTGGCCCAGCTTTCGTTTTGACACACGGCTCACGATTTCTGTCATTCTGGGGTGAGAGAGAAGAGGGTCAGGGTGGTAGAAAGCAGGGGAGGAAGGACCAATGGGGCAAAGAAGGTAGGGGAAACTGAACAGGAGTGGTGTAGCTAGAAGTTATACCACACAGGGCCTCCCTCAGCCTGCCCAGTGGACAACTCACGGCTGATCCAACCGTTGCTTGAGTTTGGTGGCTGGCATGAAAAAGGAGTAGAGCATGGACACTCCTTGGGACAGCATGGTGATCTCCAATTTGTGTTCTCTCTGGAGATGGTGGGAAGGAGGAGGGACAACAGTGTCGCTGGGATGATGAGTACTAGTCACCTGATACTCCACCCCCACCCCCCACTACACTTTACTCAATGTAGACAGCAGTGAGTAAAGAAGGGACCTTGCCTTAAAGTAGCTGAGGAACTGTCTGAGGGTCATCTCTTCACCGTTAGGCTGCATTCCCTGTACCTCAAAGCGATCCCACAATGTCCACTCTTGGTTATTGTACTGTGGAACAAAGCACAAGGGAGTCCAATCGGGGCCACCCAGATCCTTCTGCCTCCATCAGGCAACTTGACGTGTGAAGTTAAATCAATCACAACCCTCTTTTGTTCAAAAGTTCTTCCTCTTGTGGCCCCATTTCATTTTGAGTAAGCGACTGATAGTTTTATAGGGACAGACAAGGCTGCACGCTACGGAGACCCTGCTATTTTCTTCACTCACCTCCCATGCCCTTTCCCTTCCCACTCAATATCCTCTAACTCTGCTGGCCCTCTCCACATTAGTTCCAATACATGCCTGTCACACTCCTACTTGTGCAAGTTCAAAAATCCTTATGATGAATGAACAAAGGGTATACCAAAGGTTTAGGTGCCCAACTGCACAAGGCCTCACCCGGCATGATGAAGACTACACCACATGCATGCACGCACGCACGCACGCACACAGCCTCACTTACTGATGGGTAAGACCAACAGTTTGCATACAAGCAGGCCCCCACCTGGTGACGAGGTGCAGCAAGGGGCTCAGAGAAGCTGAAGAAGGGCAGGGCCAGGTTGATGAAGCTGTTCTTATAGGACTGAAGCTGTTGGTGTCCCTGTACCACCTTGTAGAGCTCCAGACACACAAGGCCAACTATGGCTGCTGTGGTTGTGGCAATGGCTGGGATGATGTTACCTGCAACCAGCTTGCTCTGAGAGAGAGAAGGTGACCGAGTAGCCATTAGAGATGTTTAGGGACTACGGAAAGGTCAAAAGTGGGAAGACTCAAGCCTGGGAAACAGTGAAAGACGACATCTAGACTATCATTACCTTATGCCGGTCTGCAGGAGGAATGTTATAGTTCTCTGCCCGGAGGTTGGATGCAGCCACAATGAAATCCATGTGGAAGTTGCTGTCATCGTCCTGTTGAGTGGAAATGGAATGAGGACAGGGAAGGCAGGGTTAGAGGGAAAAATGGGTTCTAGCCTACTGGAGATTCAAGTATTTTCCACCTCAGATACCTGCCAGACCAGCCAAAGCCTCCCCGAGACCACAAAGGATGATCACTGAGCTATGTGGCAGGCCTATAATCCCCACACAATCCTAAGACGTCTCAGGCCATCCTACCCTGCTGAGGGGTACCCCCACCTCGCACCTTCTCAAAATTGATGGGGTACATCTTGAATCCAGGGAGTGTCTCTGGGCTGGGCAACATGGCCTTGAGCTCCTGTAGGCGGGTATCATCTGCAACGAAGGAAGGACACGTCAGTCCTTTAGGTCCCATCCCAGGTCAGAGACTAAGGCCAAAAAGCAGGAGCCCAGGGTGCCCAGAGTTGTTCAGGCGGAGAAAGGATTTGAAAAGAAGAGGCACTGTGCAAAAGCATAGTGGGGAGGAGAAAAGGTAGAGCAGGGAACACCCCAGAGAAGACAGAAGTAAGCAGGTGTGAAGATTTGAAGAGAGAGAAATCTGCAAACACTGGGGAACAGAAATAAAGACATTCACAGAGGGTAATGTAGACAGCAGCACTATTCACAGTTCCTAAGAGGTGGAAGCAACCCAGTTGAATGACAGATGAATGAAGAAAGAAAATGTCCTCCACTCATTTCATGGAATGTTACACAGCCTTAAAAGGGGAAAAAAGCCTGTCACTTACAACAACATGGACGGACCTGGAGGACATTATGCTTACCTAGATTCAGAAAGACAAATACCACATGATCTTACTTTACTGACCTACCTAGAAAGGTCAAAATCACAGAGATAGAAAGCAGAATGGTGGCTGCTGGGGCCAGGGATGAGGGGAAATGGACTTATTGTTTCATGGGTAAGTTTCAGATTTGCCAGAAGTTCTAGAGCTCTATCGCACAATGCCACTGTGCTTAACACTACTGAGTACTATGCGCACTACTTACTAGGATGATAAACCTTATGTTTTTCTTAATCACAATTTTTTTTGCAAAGGCACGAAGACAGAAATATAAAGTTAGGAGACCTTGAAGACGAATGAAGAAGAGGGAGACAGAGAGACACAGAGGAACGTACAGGGGGAAACAGGAGGGAGATACAGGAAAGAAGACAGATGAAGGGGCACTGGGGGGGAAAGCGGACAAGGAAGAGGAGAGAAATATGGAAAGGGATAAACAGGAGAAAATCTGAAGAGGGCGACCAAGGGGAAGAATGGTGGAGATAAACCTAAGAATGGAGAATGAGATGGGAAAATACTGCAAGAGGAGACAGGCAGATACGGAGAACATATGAGAATGCACGTGGAAAACAAAATGACAGAGACATCATTTGAGGAGGAGGGGAGGGATATAAAAGGGATGAAATGGAACTACCTATACAGAAAAGGTCCAGTGTACAGGGGGACTTAACAGAGCACGAGGCAGGACAGCAGGGAGAGACGGGGAGAATCTAAGGACTACCTAGTCACCCTCTGTTTCACAGAGCAAGCCGACTGCTGGGAACATCAGCTGGAGTTAGGTGTAGTTATGGATGGAGAGAGGAAGAGAGGTCTTGAGGGAGATGAGGGAAGATACATGGAGGCTAACGAGTAAAGATGCAAAAGAGAAGAAAGTGGGGGAGGTCTGGAAGGAGATGAACCAGGGAAGAAATCAAGGCAGAGAGACTACTGGTGGACATCATTTCTCTCTCTCTCCCTGATACAAAAGAAACAAAAACAAAAAGGAGCAGAAAACAAGGCAAGACACTCACAGAAAGGAAATGAACAACTCGTCCGCCTGACAGACTGAGAGAGAGGAAGGTAAAGAGCGTGACAGAATCTGCCTCAAGTGACCATTCTTATTTTCACTGGAGGAAGTGAGGACCAAAGGACGGTGGGAGTAAACTTCAGGCCTGCGGTCTCAGAACAGGGCCAATGGCAAAACACAAGTGAGAGGGCTTGGATGGACAGGGGAGAAGTGCTATGGTGGTTCCAGGCCAACTGGCTAAGCACCCTCACCGAAAGAGGCATCAGCGTTCTGTAGCTCCTGGTCAGAGACATGGATCTTGATGCCGGCCTTGGGGGTGAACTCGGGGACCTTCACGGACTGTAGGAGTATGGCCACATCAGCCCTGTCCCGGGAGCCCAGAAGCCCGTAGGTCTGGGCAAACAGGTTGGCGGCAGCCATCACGTAGTCCAGATGCAGGGACTAGAAGACAAGGTGTGGGAAGATAATGAGCACATCTGTCCTCACCTGAGGAGCCTCGGGCTCCTTCCCACCCATCTACTTTCCACCCGACCCCAGGAGACCCTAGGGAGGAGACTCACATTGTTGATATCAAAGGTGAGCGGGTGTGGACAGCGTTTGGGCCCAGACCAGAACGGGGCTCCTGAGCTTGTTAGCTAAGAGAATAGAACGGTTTTGGGGCAGCAGAGCCTGAGAGGAGAGGTCTGACAATCCTGAAATCCAGGATTTCAGCTCCGAGCTCTCAGTTCACTATCCCTGGGCACGTGTTTTGTGCCAGATACAGAGCTACTCACCCACTCTTACAAACTGCCAGCTGTTGTACTGACTTAATTAACCTGGTAATTGAATAAATCTCAGTTCATCCTCATAGAAATGCTCATGAAATAACCCATCGGTACTCCTACTTCATACCAGAGGATAATGAGGTGCAAAGAGAAAACACGTGACTTGCCCCAGGTCAAATGGAGCTGGGACTCGCTTGCACCTAGTTCCTGTGCTCTTAATTCCCAAAGTTCTCTCCTATGATCTCTGCGCCCTCAGTGCGAATGGGAATCGGGTATGACTCACCTTATTCTGCAAGTAAGGGAAACGGAAACCAAGTCTCTTGCTTGAGACAAAGTGCATGCGGTGGGGGAAAGACGCGGTCAACGGCAAAAAGAACTGGCTTAATGATTTCATTAGAGCTCCACGCCTTGGTGCACTTGCCATGGCTGGATTAACGGAGCCATGTCAGCAACCTGTAGCAAGCTCCCTATTTGTATCCTGACAAATGGACCCAGCAAGTATGTAATACCTGGTCAGGAGGAAAGTTGTGCAGCAGCTGCTGGATGTTGCTGGAGTACTGGGTGTGCCAGTGGTGGCAAGCCCAGGTCACGCAGTCGGCCCAGGTGTGTGGTCGCTGCAGCACCAGGCTGCGCTGCACGGCCTCCAGCACCTCCAGGGGTTGGGTGCCTGCCAGCCGCAGTGTCCGCTCCATAAACTTGGAGTCTCTATCAGGGATCAGAGGGGTCACGGGGGCAGGACTGCACAGGAGGCCCCAGGAGTGGGCTTAACTCCATGGAACACTAGTCATGAACCCACAATCAACATGTGGCTCAAGCATTCATTCGGTCATTCACAAAGTGTGCCAGGTGCTGAGGGTTACAGTAGTTACAGCATGCTTTGGCTAGCTGGTGGGAGAAAGGCTGAGAGAACATACGGACAGATGGGATAACTCACATGAGGTACTGGTTGACATTTTCTGCTGGCTGCTTAAAGAGGCCTTCAAACTCATCCCGAGCCCACTGCAGACAAAACAAGAAGATTACATGGGGTATGAGAGACAAAATGGATTTCTAAAGGCATGAGAAAGACCACTGACAAATAAAGCAAACACGAAAAACACGCCTACTATGGGAAGCAGAACAGCGAAAAGCAGCCTCCCAAATGTGGCTCCTCAAACTTCCCAGGCCCCCTCCACCTCAATTTAAAAACCCATGACCTTGACCTCGGTAGTGGGTATACGTGTGTACATGTGCAAAACTTACTTTTAAGACGTAGTGTTGTGTTATGCCTCAGTAGAAAAGGAAAATATTCACACCAAAAACAAAGCACGAATGATCCCTATCAGGCCATGGGGACTGGGCAGAAACCTTGCCAGAGGTTTTGCCCTCTGAGACTTACGAGGACAGCAAATACAGTCACCGATCTGGAGCAGTTCACCCAAGTCCCAGGTCTGCCACAGGTTTGCGACTTCGGGTGTACCCACAAGATGGTACCTTTAAACTCTGTATCCTCATTTCAAAAACATATACTGTAACAGCAATACCTACACCTCATAAGGCTGATATGAAAGACTGAGAAAACATGTACATGTTTAAAGCTTCCTGAGACCACTGCCAAGTACATGCTCAGTGGGAAGTACGTCACAAAAACCTTGTGGAAGATACTGTCATTCCAATTTCAGAAATAAGGAATCTGAAACATGAAGAGGACAAGTCTAAGAGCCTCATGGTAAATTTGTTTTAAAAACTTTGTATAGGCCTTCCTGCACGTTGGCAAGAGAGTAACAGAACATCTACCACATACGCATGGAGGGCGAATGGAGAGGGAGATGAAGACACAAACATAAATACATCCATTCTACAACTCTTGGGGTGGAAGGAAAAGAGATAGATCCAAGTACTTCTTCTATCCCTACACTCCCCTTAGACTAGAGCTAGCCTCAAATACTGCATTAACAATCACTTTGATAGTACAGTGAATTTTGGGGGGTTGAAAAGGGAATGGAACTGTGGTTAGGTTTTGAGTGCCGGTTAACTTGGTATGTTTACTCGGCCCATCGAGAGAATATGTACGCTGTTCTGTACATATGTGCACTGTTCAAACAGAGCTATCCTGACAAACCAGCTACTAAATATATTTTGGGCGAAATGGAAGTGATGTTAAGAAATTATTAAATAATTAGCAGGGATGATATTAAAAATTAATTTTGTTCAGCAAGAAAACAGTACGGTTTACTTTTCAGATGTATATCGCTTACATAAAATACTTGCCTGTGTGTTTCCAAAACAAAAGTTTTAAAGTTGAAAAATTAATCATTTGAAAAGGTTAAGCTGCTGGGTGTAAAGTGAGGGTAGGAGGCTGAGGAACAGGTACATGTTACGTACACTGAGGCTGGCGTCCTCTGAATATGGTTAAGAAGAGGCTGGTGGCTGAGAGACTGCCCGGGTGCCACCAAAGCCTTACTATGTGCCCAGGTTTGTCTTCCACCTCTCCGTCCACCCCAAGGCTGATCACCTGTAGGGTGTGCTCAACGGCATTGGGGAAGTTCTTCAGTGTGCAGATGGGAATGGTCTTCTCAGGAGGGTCCTGGCTGGAGCTATATGACTCTGTTAAGAACGGAATAACCACCTGGACATTGCCCTTTGTGCCCAGTGTGCCTGACTCCAGCAGTGGCTTACGGTAGAACACACAGCGGCGGTCCACGTACATGCCTGTGGGGAGACGGCAAGGGTGGGTGAATGGAAGGGGAGACACATCAGAATAGGTCACAGGGGACAGATACTGCCCCCTCATCCTCCTCCAAACTCACGGGCATCCACACTGTCCAGGGCATTGGCTACACCATCCAGGTTTTGGAAGAAGTCGTCGTCATAGATGTGCTCTGTGTCAGGGCCCACACGGTCCTGACGGCTCATCACGCGGATGTGTGGATTTAACTGGCGCACGGCTGCAGCAGCTGTGTCAGACTTCAATTTCTGGGTGCGTGTGGAGGAAAAGAGCTGTTAGTTACCCAAGAAACCTGTGCAAAACTGTCCTGAGGACTGATTTATCTGATGATGGGCAAAACCTAATCTAGGCTCTAAGTTTAGGAGGCTCTTGGTTTAGCAAAAGAGATAGGAATGGTAAATGCCACACTGCTGGGACGTGACAAACGAGGCAGGGGTGAGAAGAAAAGGAAACAGTGACAAGGGATCAGGTATCTGTTCTGTTGTCTACCCAATATATTTTTTTCTTATTTAACAGCACCCCGAGTTAGGGTACATTCATACAAACGAAACCAAGATCCTAGTACAAGAACAAACAGACCCTGGGAAACCCCAAGTCAGGTCCCTTTCTCTACTGCTCAAAAACCTCCACTGGCTACCGATTTCGCTCAGGGTGAAATGAACGGGCCCCTGCTACTTCTCCCACTTTATCGCCTACCGTGGTCTCCTCCATTTGATCTCTCTTCCTCAGCTATAACCAAGACAAATTCCCATCTCGGGGTTTTGTTCAGGCCGCTACCTCTGTCAGGATACATTCTCCTCTGAGATATCCTCCTACGCTCCTACGTCATCACAAGCCTTCGTGGAAATGTCGCCTTTCCAAAGAGGACTTCCCTCGCTACACTACAAAGCACCCTCCACCCCACTCCCCACTTTCTACTCATTTTTCACTGTTGCCATTTATAGCACTTTTTAACTTTCCAATGTTAATCACATACTTTGCTACTGTACTTACCGTCACTACAGAAATTCTCTGACATAACGGTCTTAAAAAGACCTTTTGTTACGTGCAGTACGGCTACCAATATTGCCGGTATTAGAAATTTAAATTTCAGAAAATTTTAAAATAGTCTAGTTGAAAATGGAATTATTCTATCACACGGTATGAACATTATGGAGAACAACTGCACAATAACAATACTTCAGTAACAACAGTCCAACTGTATTTACATTTCTGCAAATCTGTTCTAAGTCATACAATCTCTTAGACCGCTGGACTCTCCCCACTGCTACTGTCATCAATTTGTGTTTTGTTGCAGGTTAAAGGGATATTTCATCTCACAGAAGAATATTTTAACACTACTGCCAGATAAATGTTGATACTTTTAAAAAATATATCAAAACTGGACAAGTGATAGTGTTTTAAAATGTAGCTGCAGGGTGGAATCTGGAATTCATACTGGTTTATCTTGCATTTGGAAAAGATCTTTAACTATGCACAAGTTTGCATCATCGTGGACTGGTCACTGGCCAAACTCCATGTCACTGAGTTAGCGAAGGCTTCCTAAAGTGGAGTGAACAATTCCACTTTCACCTGATAACCTCAGAATGAAACACACCAATAATGTCTTAGTATTTCTCTTAAAAGGACTGTGATTGCAGACTTCATGAAAGTGTGTCTTGGACCTTAAGACGACCTCACACCACATTCTGAGAACCTCTCATTTGCTCTGTGTCTTCCCACTAGACAAGAGTAGGAACTGTTCTTCTGTGACCTTATGTATTCCAAATGTCTAGAGAAGTACCTCATAGTTATGTGATAAAATGACAGACAAGACAGACTCAAGAGTAGGCAAAAACGACACTGACCTTTACAGAAGCCTTCCCAGATAGATCCCTCTATAACCAACCTAGATTCCACAGTCCCACATCGGCAATGACCAAAAAAGTGAAAGGACACAAAAGGGACGACCAAGGTGTACAACGACAAATGAAATGAATGTACGTATTAACTACTTGACTTAAATGGTAGAGAAAAGAAATGAGGGAGCAGCGAAGGAAAGATTTGTGAAGACTGATAACAAGACAAAAAGACAGAGGAGTGAGAGGAGCATTCACCCACTCGCCATGCCTGCCCCACTCACCGTGACATCCCAGGGCCGGAACAAAAACTGTCGGTTCAGGTTGGACTTCTCAATGGCGTCCATGTCTGTAACGGTGACTGCTCCCCTCTCCCCACAGCCTAGACCAATCATGGCAAAGTTCTTGAGCAGCTCACACCCAATGGCCCCTGCACCTACCTGGGAGGTGCACAAGGAGAGAGACAGAGGCTGGTTAGGGTGACTTGAGTGTAGCAAAGCCACCTGTTAAGTCCTCAATCCCCTCAATTCCCGCCCTGTTGAGACAGCAAGAGGGTGAGAGGGTCTAGTACTCCACAGTCAAGTCCCAGGGCCATAAAAAGAGGGTCACCTAAGGAAGGAGGCTGTAGAGGGCGGAATAAAGGAGGCCACCAGAGGGGAGGATAATAAAGGGGACACATCAGGCTTGTCCTTGGTATGAAGAAAATAGAAAAGAAGACGAGACAAGGATGTAAGAAACAAGATTCTCCCTCATGAGATGGGAGGAGACTCCAGTCGAGGTGATGAGAAGGTAGTAGAGATGAAGGTAGCTGGTGTCCAACATGGTCACTCACCAACAGGTAATTCTGCCTGCCCAACTTCTCTTGCAGGTCTGAGCCAAATACAGCCACCTGCCCATCGTAACGGTTCTGGCACTGAGTCACGTGAAAGAAAGAGGGTCAGAGAAGAGCTGTTTTACACAGACTTGCAATAACCCTTTCCCCATGGGTCCCACCCACATACCGGGAGACACTTGTCTTCTGTGAGGGCCTCTTTGTCCTCGGGGAGACACTCAAGGGCATCAAAGTACAGCCACTGCATAACAGGCATAAACTTCCCAGAGCAGGCCTGGGGCAGGGGAAAGAAGGGTATGTGACTGCCAGGTGAACTCTGAAGACAAGATGGGAAGGCACCTGGCCCATCCCCAGCACTGCCCTTCTCCTCCCATACCAACCTTCATGACCTCCTGGGCAGCCAGGCCTCCAATGAAGGCGTTTACAGGGGCCAGATCCCCAGCAGCCACATACGCCAGTTCCCGAATGAGCTCTTCATCCAAGTTGTCCTGCTGCACCGCCAGCAGGGCTTGGGCATTCACGGTCTGTGCTAGGGTCACCAGTTCTGCTGCATCCTCCTGGTAGGGCAGAAGGGACCAAAAGAAGTCCAGGCAGACAACTGTGTGGACAGGGAGAACGGGGAAGAGAAAGCAGACAGACGGGAAATAATGGTGGGGCTTTGGACCAAGGACTTGAGATGGCCTTCCCACCCACTGACCTCATTGCGGGGCCGCGGGGAACGGCCGTGCTGAGCACAGAACTGGTGCAGGGCCTGGAAGCCAATGTGCAGCTGGGCAGGGCGAGAGGTCTTGGCAAAGTCTGTTACCACAAAATCTGGTTCTGCCAGTGAGGCTGGCAAGGATTTCTGTAAAGAGAGAGATATCCGGCCCTAAGAAGTGAGAAGACCTAGCTGTGCCTGCAACCCTACAGCCCATCCCACACATTCTCACAAAGCTGATCTTCTTAGGTACTTTGACCTGACTGACGATGCCTCCATAGGTGTAGTCAGAGAAGCTGGAAGTATCACAGATACTGAAGGTGTAGGGACCTAAGAGAATGAATGGGACGGACGGAATGGTCAGTCCATTCACCAAGCCTCCTGCCCTGCTCCCGCCACCCTCCCCACTCCAATCAATGGCACCACCGATACAAAAATGAAAAAGCCGCTCCCACCCAGCTCAGACGTTGGAGATTGTGGCCCAAGCTCTGTTCGGACATCAGAAACCTCTATCCCTTCTGCCCCAGACCTACTGCAGAAACCATAGGTACCCTAGGCCTAAATGCCGCACCAGAAAATACAAAAGCCCTGAAGAGTTCCAACAGCAACTCGATAAATTCTCTAGAACAAATCTCAGAAATATTTAAGGAACACCAAAACAAAACAAAACAAAACAAACCCAGCTCCAAAAAGCAGCATTCACGATTATCTTGCAACCATCAAAAATTACCAGACCATGGATCTGCGGCTTTAGTTTCCATGAAATTTGCAAATTTCCTTCCAAAACCTGTTTTGAACCCACACCTTTGTTGGGACTCATCACATGAGGTTACCTGTATTTTTTCCACTTGTAGTAGTTTGTGTGTTTAAAATGTTCCAAGCATCTCCTTAACAGAGTCATGATTGTCTGGAGATTCTTACTGACATAAGGAACATTATCTGTAATAGCTATTTTAATGTTATTGCTCTACTGATTTTACACACCGGATGGATTAACAAATTAACACGCCAAAAGATGAGCAAGTTGGACAAAATAAAAGAAAATACCCAAAACACAACAAAGAGTTAAAAGAAAAGTGGCTTAATACACATGTAATGAGTTTCTGGAAAGAGACGATAGGGTTGGAGGGAGTGAGAAAATATTATTTTGAAAAAAATTATGACCAGTAACTTTTCAAATCTGATAAAACCATAAACCCACAGATAACATAAATTCAACACCAAGCAAGAGAAAACTACACTAAAATACATCATAACAACACTGCTGAACATCAGTGAGAAAATAAGCACACCACATAGGAAAACAAGGATAAGAATGGTAGCAGGCTTTCTGTGGACAATAATGCAAGCAACAGAACATCTTTAAAGCAATGGAAAAAAATGTCAATCTGGAACTCTACACCCCTCAAAAATATGTTTCAAACACACCGACAAAATAAAGACAATTTCAAGCTTAAATTTAAAAGCTCAAATAATCACTACCAGAAGACCCCGTACTATGACAAATGTTAAAGGGCAACTCTTTTGCAGAAAGAAAATACCAGATGTAAACTTGGATCCACAGAGTAGTAGTACACTGGAAATGGTGACAAGTGGGTAAAAATAAACTTATTTCTTTATTATTTAAATCGCTTTAAAAAATAACTATTGAGACAAAAACAATGTATTGACAAGTTCATGACCCGCAATAAAATACATGGACAATAGCAAACGGTGAACTAAGAAATGGAAATTTTTGTGTTGTAAGGCTTTTTTTCATGTGTGCAGTGATAAAGTATTACTCAGAGACTATGCTAAGTATGCTTACAGGTGTATACCACGTTTCTAAGAGACAGCCAATAAACCAAGGAAATGAAATCAGACCTCGCTGGCATGAACTTCTCTTGCCTCTGCTTCAACGCACACCTCTCTGGTAAGGTGCCATGAAAACGACCCTCCTAATCCTAGCTCGGATTTCAGAGAGGCAGCTCCACCTGGCCTTTGGCACAATTCAGACTTCCGATATGCCATCGCCTCTTGGCCTCTGGATGAGCGCACACACTAGAGTCACCTCTCTTTTTACTCCAAGCAATCTGTCCTTGCCCTCAGCCCTGGCTTACCTAGAACTTTGATCTGCATGGGGCAGGTGCCATTGAGTTCGTTCATGCCTTGGACTTCTGTGAAGGAGACGAAGTCACCACTCTCAAACCCGTGCCGGGCCTCATCCAGGCAGGTGACGACACCAGGGCTGTCCTGGTTGGAAGAGAAGTGAGCCTCAGAGGCAGGCGGAGGGCACCAGGAGAAGACAGGAATGACTACTGCTGCCCACTTCCCTGACAGGACCCCTGGGGGCAATCTCCTTACCTTGGTAACCATAGAAACCATAGCACTGAGAGGCTGCTCCCCGTTGGAATCCGTGAGGATCATTTCCTCGCCGAAGTCACAGAACAACTGCCTACAGAGGGGGACAACAGGACTGGTGCCTGAGACCCATGCACACAGGTTATTCCATGTGCCCTCCACGATACACTGAATCCTTGCTAGGCAAACTCAGTCCATCACCACTGGCAACCAGGTGCTGCTCATGCCCTGTGGGGACAGCTGAACAGACAGAATCAAAAACCTAGCCAGTTGAGGGGAGCATGAGAGCAGTGCGAGCCAGGGGGTTTGGGCCTGGGGCTGTCAGGGGTTGGAAGGGAAGGGAGAAGATGGCACTTACCCAAACAGTCCCCGTGTATCTGCCACCACCAGCTTGATTCCATGGCTGTGACAGAACGCACCCACCTGCAGTTGCTCCTCCAAGGGAGTGTTGCTAAGGACTACCACCTATAAAGAGAAAGGCGTTCGTGCAGAGGGCCAGGCACTGGGGTCAGATGGGGCGGAAGAAAACAAAGGAGAAAGGCATGCCGGGGTGAGTGAGGTGTGAAGACTCAAGTCCTGCTGGTTCGGCCCTCTTCTATAAACACTATTTGTCAAGTATCTATGTGTGTCATACTCGGTGAGCAAGAGACTCACTGAAGAGGAGGAATCCTCAGACTATGACAAGAAAGGTACCGAGGTACCAGGAGGACAGAGTTTGGAGACCAACTACCTAACTTCTCGGAATAACAGCCATCCTTGCCTGCCTACAATCCTAGGAGACAAAGGGAAAAAAAAGTCGCAATCTTGTTTCCGCTCAACGTTTGGTTTTATCCCCAAACCCACATTCACTTGCTTCCATTTGCAATGACATGCATGGACCTGGAGGGTATCGCACTGGGTGAAATAAGTCAGCCAGAGAAAGATATGTACTGTATGATCTCACTTATACACAGACGCTAAGGACCAAAGAAACAAACAAGCAAAACAAAAAATAGATACAGAGAACAAATTAGCGATTGCCGGGGTCGGGGGAGAGGGGACGGCGGCAGGGCTGGATGTGAAAGGTGAAGGGATGAAGTACAAATTGATAGTCACGAAACAGTCACAGGGATGTGCAGTACAGCATAGTCAGTATAGTCAATAACATTGTACTGGCTGTGTAGGGTGCCAGGTAGTGACTAATTGGAGGGATCACCTCATAAACTATACATCTAATCACTGTACTCTATACCAGAAGCTAATAAACAAAACCACCACCACCCCCAATTTAAAACAAAACATACCACATGTGTAGTCCCGATCTATAGGGACCTCTGAGTTTCCTTCCTCATTCACCAGGATCATTTCCCACTCCTACATCACAAGTTTCAGTACCCTGACCCTCTGGGAAACCCCAGGGCAGCACATTGGCACCTACAGCTCCTCTTTCCCACCCAGTTACTTAATAAATACCTTTATGAAGCTTACCATGTGCCGGCTGCCATTCTAAGTGTTTAACACTCACAGAAACTCTAATCGGTTTGGCTATTGTTCCTGCTCTCCCGACAGGAAAAATTAAGGCAGACGAGACTAAACTAGCTGTTCAATAGTTCACTGTCATACAACTAAAAGAGCTTACACACACCAAGGCACTATGGCTTCAGAGTTTAGTGTTTGTAACCACTCTGTCTGGCCACTTCTTCCCTCCTGAAAAGGTGTGTGTTCCCTCAAGGACGGGTCCCCTAGCCTCCCAGCGCAAAACCCGGCACACAGGGCTAACCGATTAAATAAACACTGAACGAACCAACCAGAAAAGGGACCTGAGAAAATTAGTCAGGAGGCAGGGTGATGCTCCAAGGTACCTGGAAACCACTAAGGAAGTCCTCAACGAGGGCTCCAGTATAGGTGCTGACGGGCACATAGCTGTTGAGCTCAGCAAGGCGGGGCTGTGATACTTCAGCCCGGTTTTTACCGACGTCCTCCTCCCGCAGGTAGAACTACAAGAGGGTACAGGCAGGAAAGAGGTGAAGTGGATGCAGAGCCCAGGGCGGGGCTGGTGCCTTGCAAAGCGGAGGAGGGTCACAAAGAGGTACCTGGGAGGAGAGGTCAGCCCACTGGGCAGTGCCCTGGTCATGGAGGGTGACAGCTTTGACCCCAGCAAGGATGATATTCTTCGCGATCTCCACACCTAGGCCCCGGAGGCCCGACACCAGCACACTGGATGTCTGGAGATGCTTCATTGCCTCGTGGCCCAGTACGTACCTCACACAATATGGGATACTGTGAGTCAAGACTCAGCCCACCCAACCCTATCCTGTTTCCCCTGACACCTCACATTCCAAGGCTTGGGCACACTTACAGCTGACGGGAGTAGAGACCCTCATCTATGTCTGCGTCGCTGTCCTTTTTTGGCATTCCCTAGAAAGGGGGGGGGGGGAGTTTCAGGGGGACAGCAGGAACGGTGCTTAGACAGGTGACCGAGACAGTTTCCTGTCCTCTACCCTACCACCCCCACTGAGTCTCCAGGGACAAGACATTCACACTGGTTGGTCCTGAAGGCACTCTGAACATCACAGAATAGGCAGAGGCACAAGGAGAACTCGGTTTTGAATCCGGCCCAAACACACACAGTTTCTTGGACGGTGGCAAGCTGGCCATCTGAAGAGTCAGCGGTGGTACAGATGTGGTAGGCTTTTCTTTTGGTTAGTGGCAACTCTGGGGGTAAGAAGGACTTAAGAACTAGTAGCACCATTTTAAAGGGAAGAAAGGAAAAGAAAATGTGCTTGGCCCTAGGGCTGCTCTGAGGGGTTGGAATCAGGAGGCTGAGCTCAGGCAGTTTAGGCCTAAAGACTAACTGTGAAGAGAGTGGCTAGGTCCTGAAGTCGGGCTGGGTCTCTGATCAGCAACGCTGGCTGGGGCCGACAGAGGCTGAGTGGCACAAGCCAAGGGCTTTCTGAACTGAAGATGTTGGTGACTAGAAAGGCCCCGAGGGCAGGCTGTGAAGAATGGCGCAGAGCTAAGGGATCTTGCCAGAAGCTGGAAAGCCAGTTGGCATTTGAATGCAGACTTAGGGACCAGGGTGAGGCTGGGAAGGAGAGTCTCTCGAACGGGTGTTCAGGACCAAAATGTGAGAGGGTGTACAAGGGCAGACACTGGTGGGAGAGGATGTGGGGCTGGGGAATGATGTGTGAAGTGGGAATCCCTGTCCAAACAATTCCTGCCAGGTACCTGGCCCCACCATAGGTTCTGAGGGAAGATAATGGGGGGTACTGTTACTATGACGCTGGCACGGTGACAAAGAGAGGACTCTCCAAAAGCAGACACTGGGAGCAGGTCTCTAGGGCATGCTGGACCTACAGCGGAAGACGGTAAGGTGGGCACGGAAGGTGGGACACAAATGCTTCCTCTAGCGATGTCTCCAAGGTCACCTAGAAATGAAGACATGGTGAAGAGCAGGTGCTGAAGGCCTTGCCTCAAGGCCAAGGGAGGGGCGGATGTTTGAACAGAAAGGCCCAGTCCAGGGATCCCCCCGACAGAAGAGGCTACAGTCCCAGGGGGGCTGTGAGGTAGGGGCCTCTGACAGAGAGCCAGGCCCAGGCCTTCGTTCACGGGGTCTGGTTGGTCCCTTTCGTCGCCTTGAAAGGTGACTGCGGGAGCGATGGGCGGGGAGGAGAGTGATGTCAGGAGAATGTGGAAGACAGCTCTCTTCTAGGGGAAGCAAAGGCCACAGGCACCCTCCCAGGGCTCCTCTGGCTTACCTTGCGAGCTGCGAGGACGAGGACCCGGGGCCGGCAGATGACCGTAGAGCACACTGACCGCACACTGACGGGGAACCTGGTGACACAGGATGCCAGGTCACTGAGGGAAAAGGTTCCCGGCTGGGGGCGTCGGCCCGGAGACGCTAAAGGCAGGCAGGCTCTGGTGTCCTGGAGCCCAAGGTCAGGTCTCTGAAGCCGACCAGGGGCGGCAAGTCAGCGCCCCTCCGAGCGCTCCCGAAACCGCTGCCGGGCGCGGCGCCGAGAAAGGCCGTGTGGTACCGAGGCCGCTTCCCCGGGCCTGTCCGCCGCCCACCGCCCACCGCTCAGGGAGCGGAAACCAAGCGCGGACGCCGCCCTCCCTCTACCGCGCCGTCTGCGCCGACAGGCTGCCGGAGCCCTGCGGCCGCCACCGCCCTCCCGCCGCCCGGCAGCCCGGTGCACCGACGCCTCCTTTACCTCAACCGGAGGGACAGGACGGCGGCCGCGGAACCCGAGGCCCAGAGCACGCGCCTGCGCCCGTTCGCCCGCGCCCACCGGGGAGGCACGCACGACGTCCTCAGCCCCGTGGGGTTCCTCACGTTTGCTGCGTGCGCCGCGGGGCTGCCGCCGTCTGGCGCCAGCGTCCGCCGGAAGTGAACTGCGTCTGAGGAGCTCCGCCCACCTGCAGCCGGCGGTAACGATAACGCGGAGTGGCCACCCAGGCAGGAGGTGGGCGTAGACATCCAGCCCTTTGGTCGCACAGGGCGCTCGGGAGCTCGGGAGTCCCGGACGGAAAACACTGGCCTCAGAGGCAGATAGAGCCGCAGGCAGAGGGAACTGCTCATCATTCCTTAGCAGCGCCTGGTTTCAGGCTGTGAAATTTCCACTCTGCCGCCAGGGCTGCCTGATTTCCATTCCACACTCCTGACGGTGCTGCTTCACGGCCCACCGCTGCCTCGGATTCCTCTTCTGCACCCCTGGGAGGACAGCTTCCGTCTCATAACTCGTTTCAGTAGGAGTTATGAAATCTAGAATCCTAGTTGGAAGAGAGATAAAATTAAAAGTCCGCACTGTGTAAAAAGTTTAGCACACTGCCTTGGGCGCAGTAAACAGCACGCGTTAAATGCAGGTAATTTAAATTTACTAATTTAAATTGATAGGTTGATATGTATTTTTATATTAATATAAAATCAATTAGGGGTGAGGACATGACTCACGCACTTGAGAAAATCCCTTTGGGGCTGTTATTTCTAAAGGAGGCCTTGAAACACCAGAGGGACACTGCGAAGCAAACTGCCGGTGCACCACCAATGCCCATAAAATAGGAAAGACACCAGCAGGTCTGCTGTCGCCAGAGGCAGCACCATATAACAAAGCTTTAGGTACACTGTAATCCCTCGATGCATTTCTGTTTAATAATGATAAAAAGTCACATCAACTGCTTGCTCCCACGTGACACAGCCTGTGCCTTTTACATTATTGCCGTCGACGTGCTCAGAAAAGCATTTCCTGGAATTCGCCAGAGAAACCACCTGGTCTCAGGCTTTTCTCGGTGGGAAGTTTGATTACAAACTCAGTCCCCATATTCGCTATGGGCCTGTTCTCATTTTCTACTGTTTTCAAGTTAGTTTCTGTCACTTGTGTTTCACCTAGGGCATGAAGTCTACTGGCATGTAGCTGTCCATAGTACTTACTCCCTTATAATCCTTACTTCTCTCAGGTTGAGAGTAGTGTCATCTCATTCCTCCAGGCTTTAGTAATGGAGCCTTCTCTCCTTTTCCCTTGATCAGTCTAGCTAAGGCTTGGCGATTTTGTTAATCTTTTCAAAACACCAAGTTTTGGTTTTTGCTGATTTTCTCTACTCTTTTTCTGTCCTGTTTCATTTATTCCCACACTAATCTTTATTATTTTACTCTTTCTCTTTGCTTTGGTCTTAGATTTGTTTTCCAGTATCTCAAGTTGAAAGACTAGCCTTGTGGATTTGAAATCTTACCTCCTTTATAGGTAGGCATCCACAGCTATAAATTTCCCTCTGGGTACTGTAAGCCACGCTTACTGTCCTTAAAATGGTTCTAGGACTCTCCGCGAAAGATATGTAATCAAAGCAATTTTACTGTGGGCTAACTGATATAAACAACAGTCACGTTCCTATGGTGTCTCATTACAGCTCATCAGTGTCAAAATAGAACGACATTATTTGAGGGCTGGCTATGCTGCTTTTGCTGCACCACCACCACCCCCCACCCTTCAAACATATACACTGTCTTGGTACATTATATTTTCATTTTCATTCTCTTAAAAGTATTTCCTAATTCCTTTGCGATTTTCTCTTTATCCCCTTGGTTATTTGGAAATGCGTTAGTTTTCACATATTTACAAATTTCCAAGATTTCTTTCCATTATGGATTTCTAGCCTCACCCCCTTGTGGTCACAGAACATCTCATTAAAATTACGGAAACCTGTTTTAAGGCCTAATAACTGGTCTATCCTTGAGTGTGTTCCTCGTTTGCTTGAGAGGGATGTCTCTTCTGCTCTTGATGGTTGCAGTGTTCTGCATATATCTGTTAGATCAAATTGGTTTATAGTGTTATTCAGGTATTGTAGTTCCTCGGGGACCTTCTATTCTCCCACTCATTATTGGATATATTGTTGAACTATCTATTCCTCAAAGAAAATTTTTTTTTTTTGATTCGGATATATGGAACTCTGTTAGGTGGTCATGTTTGTAATTCTCAGGTCTTTTGACTAGTTGACGCCTTTATCAATATGTAATGAATGTCCTTCTTTATCTCTGTAAATTTTTTTGACTTACAATTTTTTTTGGTCTGCTATTAGTATAGGCATCGTATAAATCTTTTGGTTACTGTTTGTATGGGGGTGGGAAATATAAAACTTCTCTTTACTTAAAATCTATTTCTGTGACTCTAACAGTTGTCTCTTTAGATAGCATGTAGTGGGTCATGTTTTTTAAAAAAAAAAACCTACTCTGCCCGTCTTTGTCTTTTAATGGGACATCTTCTAGTTAAAAGTCTACCATTTAAATTACGTTATTTCTTTTGTTATATGTTGTAGAGTCATTTTCTCAGTGGTTGTCGATATTACAGCAGACATTTTAATGTGTGACAATCTAGTTCAGCTTGATACCAACTTAATTACAATGGTATATAAAATTTCGCTTCTGTATATTTTCTCCCCCCTTTTTTTTGTGATGGTATCATCGCACATTTCATCTTCATATACTGCATTCCTACTAACAGATTTACAATTATTTCTCTATGCTGTTGTCTTTCAATTCAGATAACGTGGGGCAAAAGTTACCTCATTAGTTTCCTATTGTTGCTGCAACACATTTCCAGAAATGTAATGCCTGAACCAAGATGAATTTTTCTCTCACAGTTCTGCGTGTCAGAAAGTTCAAAATCCATTTTACTGGGGTGAAGTCAAGGTGTTGCAAGATATTGGCAGGGGTGGCTCCATCTAGAGACTCTGCTGGTTTAAAATATCCCATTGGCCTTTCCTGCTTAGGTGCTTTCTGTATCCCTTGGCTAGTGGCTCCTTCCTCTGTTTTCAAGTACGTCCCTCCATTATCTGCTTCTGTTAGCGCACTGCCTTCTCCTCTGACTCTGACTCCTCTTGCATATCAGACCCATCTAGGCAATTCCAGATCATTCCCTCAGCTCAAAGCTCTGAATTTAATCATATCTCCCCTCTGGCTCTCCATCTAAGCATTACATTACTGCTGACTGCATTCCCTATGCCGTGCTCCCCATCCCCGTGACCATCTGTCAACTACTAATCTGTAGTTCTTTAACCCTGCATCTAAGTCAGTTGGCTAACTTGCAAGGCAAAGGCCCCTCAACCCAAGGTGTGGTGAGTCTTATTCACCTACCTCGCATCATCAGATGGGTAAGGTCCATCAACAGAATCATTGTAGTCTGGGCTAATTTATCCCAGTTGGCACTGCCTATCACTTGAGAAGTTAATTTATAGATCACTGAAATCTGAAATATCCTATCCTGAGGTTGTGATTGTGATCCTCATTTGACTTCATAATCGGGCCCATGTTTTTGCTAGGAGAGAGGTATAAGGTGCGTCCGCCATAGAAAGGGAAGGCATCAGACAAACATAAGTGTTGCTTTAAAGTTAAATTTCTCATTTCTTGACCTGTTGCCGTCAAGACGGAAGAGGGTCCATCTATGGAGACCAATGGCTCAATGTTTAATGAAAAAGGGAAAAGTTAAGCAACATTTTATCCCTGTTCTTTGAAGATACCCAAGGAGGTTTGTCAACTTATAGATTGCATATCTCTTGGCTAACTTGCTTGGTCATTCCTAAGTGCTGCCACTTATTAGTATGCTAAAAGTCTCATTTTCAAAATCAAATTGTCACAAAGTCAGGATGACGCTACCATTTCTCTTTTGATATGGACCCTGAGTCTGACTGCAACACCCTAGAACAGGGGGCTACTACCCACAGCAGCGGCTATTCTGGACAACCAGGAGTTCAGCACATAAACACCCAAAGTAAAAGAAAGAGAAAAGAGAAAAAAAGTTTCCGAAAGACTGCCCCCCCCCCAAAAAAAAATATAGGGGGAAGCTGGGAGAAAGGACTAATCATGCTCTAGAGCCTCCCAGAGAAAATCTGCTGCCTAAAGGCACTGAGTCTTTTCCTTTTCCTCTATTTTCCTCCAACAATCAGAGACAGAAACTAAAAAGCTCTGTTTCAGGCAGCTAAAAGCTGAAAGCAGAAAATTAAAGGATGGGGGAAGGTAGAACCCCTACCCATAGAGAGAGAAAATAAGAGGTAATTAATTGTGTGTGGGTATGTATATGATATATATGTAAAATGGAAAAATTAAAGGTATGTATATGTGAATAAGTTAAAGGGCCACAATATAAACCCCCAAATTTATATACGAAAATATATACACTAAAAATTTATATAATAAATATATAACAAAGTTGATAAACTAATTATATAACAAAAAAATAAACAGGGCACTCATAGGCTTTGTGGCTCTACAACCTAGAATCTAAATTGACTTTAGCATTTGCTAAAATGAACCAATTAACAGAACTTCATGGACTTAATCATGGTGCTCAAATTGTAGTTATACCTCAAGATCTCCTAATTAACTGTACTCCCCATTATCTTAGGAAAATAACTAAATATAAGATAGTGAAAATAAATGTATACCTCAATTTTGTATAGTCATGGTACACATTGCCTTGAAATATCCCATATGGGGCACAGACACTCTTAACACAACGAATAATAAATTAGATTTAAAGGAAGCCTTTGGCATTTACAAATTGACTTGATAAAATGGGACCACAGAGACACCAGTCAGAACAGTTAATATGGTCCTGTGTAAGTTAAAGCAGGAGCTTCAAGGATTTTAACTCATTTAAAACCAAATTAGTAAGGAAATAATTATCCCCACTGATCTCCTTTAAGAGCCCACATTTGCCTTTTCTTAAACATCAAAAATATAAATGGTATCTCATGATGGATTACTACAACCTTAACGCTGTGGGCCCATCCTATAATGGTCTAAAAGACATCATAGACACATCTCATGGTTGCCAGAGGGGAGATGGGGGAACGGGTGAAAAACGGAAGGGGAACAAGATGTACAAATTGCCCATTAAAAATAAGGCACAGGCATGTCACGTACAGGATAGGGAATACTGTCATTAATATCGTAATAAACTTGTACATGTCAGATGGATACTAGACTTACTGAAAGATCTATAAAAGTAAAATCACTGTTGTACACTTAAACGTAATGTACTATTATACATCAACTGTAATTTAAAATAAATTTTGAAAGCTGACTACCCAGTCAACAACCAGTAAATATTTTGCTCTTGTAAACGGGTTAGTATATTCTTTTCAGTATCTATTTCAACAGTCTTTCAGCCAGTCTGCCTTCACCTCTGAAAGGACACATACACCTTTTCTTGGCTACGCATAGTTTACCTTAATAACCTTGCCACTACACAAAATCTCTGCAGATAATACCTCTACACCCACCTTTCAGTGGGAGCAGTTA